GCAGCTTTCCCAGTTCAGTCTCCAGCAGCAATCCCTGCAGGAGCACAGTCCCAGGCAGCAGCAATCCTTGCTGCCCCAAGCTGCTCCATTCCTCCCCAAAACCAGCTGCATTTCAACAAGGCTTGGATCAGCTGTACAGCCCCTGAAGAGCAGCACAGTACAATGTTCTGGAAACAGGGAACAAACCTTGTGATTGCCATGAAAATATGGGAAGCACAGGTCGGAACGTGGTGTTCCTTTTTTCTTTTTTTTTTTTCATATAAAAGTCTTGAGTTTTTTCTGGCATCTGTTTTCAGGACATCCTGAATTTCAGCCTACAGTCCACAAAGCCTGGGCACCACAGACCTGCTGAACCAGGGTCACTGTCGAGGAGGGAGACCCACAGCTTTCCAAAGCCTTGGAGAACAGTGTTGTCCTGTACCACAGTGAGACACAGGCAAAGGTCTCACCTAAGACTGGAGAGCCCCCACAGGCTCCATCTGTTCTCTGTCTGGTTCAAAACTCACTGGTGAGCCAGCTTGACTGAATCCATTCCCTTCCCAAAGCTCTGAAGCACAACAGTTGCTTTAAAAACCTTACAGCAAACTGCTGGGGAGTGAAAAATGGATTTTCAGGCATTAAAGCCCAGACCGAGGAGAAAACAGACACCTTCGATTGAGAAATCAATGCTTGGGTTTTACAGCACTTCACACTCAGCAGCAGCAAAGCCCTGCCTGCACCTCATCCCTGCAGGGCAGGGGGGCAGAAACCAGCTGAAAGCAGAGAAATGGGACACTCTGGTGCTTCCCATGGTCTTACCAAAGACAAACAGGCTTTGAGGACCTTCAGTCCATGGAGCAAAACATGTTTTCAAAAGAGACCCTCCAGATGATAAACTGATAGGGAAAGGGTCCATGTCATAGCATTCAAAAAGGGCTTCACCTGGCTGCTCTCAGGGCTGAGGGCTGATTTCTCCTCACCCCCTGCCAGCCAAGGCCCTCAGCCACCTGATCCAGTGGGTGACATTCCTGCTCATGGCAGGGGGTTGGAACTAGATGGTCTTTAAGGTCCCTTCCAACCTAAACCATCCTGTAATTCTCTGATCTCTCCCAGTCCAATTCACGAGGTGATCCCCACCCAATATAGCACACAGGAGCTGCTGCTGCTCTGCCAACCAGCCCTGGGTGCAAAAAAGAAAAAAAAAAATTAAAACCAGAGCCTGGGATTGATGAAGATGCCAGAGGGAAGGAGCAAGTCACAAAGGGAAGAGGAGGAACAATCTCTGCACCCAACAGGGATGTTACAAGCGAGAGAGACATGCTGACAAATTAAAACAGACCACAAGAACCCCTGATATGTTTTAAAGCCTTCTCTCAGCTTTCTTCTTCTCCTTTGTATGTTGGAAATTCATCTTCAACTGCAATCGCAATGCCCCCAGAGGGAAAAACACCCCAGCACGAGGCAGACTTCCCTCTAGGCAATGTGAGTCTGTATTACCAGAGCAAAAAAGGCTTTCATCTCAAAATCATTCATTTCCAGAGCACTTGACCCAAAAGGAAGTCTCCTTTATTTCTATAAAAGTCACTTTCTCTACCGAAATCCCGTGGCCTCAGAAGGGAGCTGGGAGGCAGCTTTCTGCACTTCCCTTGCCTGCTCAGAGCCCAGCTGCAGCAGGCAGTGCCTGCCATCACTGCTGGGACACGGTTGGGGCACAGACCAGCCCTGCTCCTGCAGCACCAGGATGACAGCAGACCCCGGGGCTGGGAGCTCAGGGACCTCCCCTGCTCCCCAGAGAGCTCCTCTGCCCCTGCCAGGCTCCACAAGCCTCTTCTGCCCAGAGATGGTGGCAGAGAGGGGGCCTTCTCCGACTGTTTCCATCCTTCAGGAAGAGCCAATGCAGCAGGTGCAGTAGTTGGCATCTGACTTGTTTCTCATCAGATGCTCCAAGCCAGAAGCAATCCCTTTCCCAGCAGGAAGCCATGGATACAAGGGTGTATCCTCAGCACCCCGGGTGAATTTGGACAGCTCTGTGGTGCTACCAGACCTGCCACATAGAAACCAGCTTGTGCAGGCAGCGGGGTGGGGGCTTGGGGAGCTGCTTCTGCCCAGGGAGCTGTCCTGACTCCACGAGAAGCCAGCTGTGATCCACACCTCCAGGAGCTCCCGGATCAAGGGATGTTCCTGTGAGGCACTCAGGCCTGGAATGGAGGGCAAAAGTGGTACCAGCAGTTCAGTAGGAGGGAGGAGAAAGGTTGTTTGCCAGAACCAGCAGGCAGCCAGGCAGCTGGTGGGGGTGAGATGAGAGCTCCTGGCTCCCACAGCCACCTGAACTCGGGGGAAGATGCCACTATGGACAAAGATCTCCAAACTAAGGCTCCCAGCCCAGCTTCAGCCCCTGTGGGTGGCACACAGCCCTGCTCTATCCTACAGGACACTGAAGGACACTCTTGCTTACCTGGGACACAGCCCAGTAAGGCAACCCTGGGCTCATGAAGTCATAGTCCAGCACAAGCCACTGTTTCCATGCTGAGTTTTGCAATGGATGTGCAGCACAATGGCCCAGACTCAGGTGAGGGAAAGGACAAAGAGCCCACATTTCTACCCCTCCAAACTGAGAAGAACCTGAACCCCAGTCCCCAGCGCGCTGGAAAGAGCCCAGGGACTCGCAAGGCTGGTTGTGCAAGAGCTCTGTTAATTCCATGTTTTTTAAGCAGCCCTTGGGGTTCTTTTGAGTGCCCTGTTGTTGAGATCCCTGCAAACAGCTCCTGAGCACGAGCTCTGCTCTCTCCCACTGCATCTGTGTGTGTTTAGGCCTGGCTCACTCGACAGGCTCGGCCATCCTGGAGGGAGCAGATTTATCAGGCAGGACTGGCAATAAAGATAACAGTATTGGTGATGATTCCTGAAGCTGAATTGCTCCCAGTGCACTGGGAGGGGATATCCAGTGCAGGACACCTACAGAGTTCTATAGAATAAATATGACCTGCTTCAGTTTATACAAACCAGCTCCACAGAAACATTAAAACCAAACAGTACTGCCCTTACAGGGAAGAAACAGGAGGAGCTGGGATATCTGAATTGCCTTTCCAGTGAGGAGGCAGCCTGCTGGAGGCACTGGTTGTAGAGCATGCAGAGGCAGCACACACACCCTCACACACACTGGTGGTACATCACCCAGAGGATGTAGCAGATCTGGCATCACAAGGTGATACCTGTGCCTGTGGAGGCTCTGCCTCCCACTGATGCAGCCCAACAGCATCCCAGAGCAACAAACTGACTCCAGCCCCATGTTCCTGTGGGGACAGTGCACAGGCCCAGCTCACAACACTGCACAAAGCAAACTGATTGCAGATTTTGCTGGCACAGCCACGCAGCAGCACAGCTCCTGCTTCCCTTCCTTCTGGGAAGTGGCTCAGCACAGGCAGCTCTGCACCAGGCTGTCAGGAAGAGATTCCCACTGCACTGGAATTAGAGACAGGTCCAAACAAACCTGCTCTCTTCCAGGAATTGGGGAGTCACACCTGCCTCTCTGTTTCCTGAAAAGCAGGTACAACGGTTTTGTCTGTTCAAGGTGCACCATCCCTGTCCTCTGACAGCAGCACTGAGCAAGATGCTCAGAGGCAAAGGGGATTTTTGAATCAGCTTGGGTGGCCACCAGCTATTTCAGGTTGGGCTGATTTCTGCAGGCCCTTGGCAGCATTTCTGGGGAGGCTTTTTGGAAGCTATGTCCTTCAGCTGAAACCCCCCCAAGTCCCTCTTTTTCTGACCACCCCAAGGAAAGTGAAATTCCTTGAGGAAAATAACTTTCAAACCTCTCTGAGTTTTAAAAGTCCTATTAGACTAATTTTTAGGATGCAGGGAGAAGAAAGCTTAAGCTAGACAAACTAGTGGAAAAACTGATCTTATAAAGCAGTGGATGCTATCAGGGAAGTGAGCAATTTCCTGTAAGCACCATAACCATTGCATTTCTGCTAGAGCAGACCTGTCTCACCTTCCCAGCAGCATTCCCTCTACCTGCCCTGTTCCTGGAGCCCATTTCAACAGCTCCAATGGTGTGATGCACTTCAGTGACCTATTAGCTGTCACCTGCTCAGGACACAGCCATGGCACATTTGCCATTGTGTAAAAGCAGCAGCAGCAGCAGCAAACATAACACCCTAAATAAATGTTCAGAGGCTGCAGAGTGGTGTAATTAATCACAGGGTCTTTCACAGGCAGCAGCAGGGAGGGGGAAGCACAAGGCAAGGGTGTGGGAGGAGGGACATCAGGGCCCCCTTCTGCTGCCTGTCCCCATCCTACCCTGCCAGAGGCTACAGGAGCCAAGGGGTGAGAGACCAGGCAGCAGCTGGAGTTGGAGTCAAGGTCAAGCTCCATTTCACAGCTCATCCCATTTTGTGAGCCCTAGCAAGTGACAGTTTCCCCAGCCTGCTTTGTTTGGGCACATCCCTGATCAGCAGATAAGTAGCCCTCATTGCCAGGGTCTGCAGAGGTGTAAAGTTAAGACTGCTCCAAACCCACTCTCTGCCCTGCTGGACTTGAATCTTCCCTTTCCCACATTCCCCAGGGCCCAGACCAGCTGACACAGACAAGAGATGTCAAAGGAAGAGACAGAAGGAACAGCTTAAACACCCTGAACTGCATCCTTCCAAATCCTCCCTTGGCAGACAACCAGCTCTCAGCTCTCCTTCCTTGCAGTTATCTCCTCCTGCACTCCCTGGGAATGTACTCCATTGGGATGCTGGCTCCTGCTGCCCACCCAGCAGCTGAATAGCTGCACCAGGGGACACAAAGTCTGGGGACTGCTTGGGAAAAAAAACCAGGAAGCCTCAAATTTAAGACACAGCAGAGTCTAGGACACAGCACACCTCTGTCAGCACGCCTTGCTGCCCAACAGCAATGCTCTCCCTCGACAGCCAGCCCCCAAGTTCATCAGCAGAAGCAACTGGAATAGCTTAAACCTGGGAGAAACCTCCACCATCACCACTTGAGGAAGTCTTCAGGGACTCTTGGACTCACCAGGATGGCAGAAATGGCAAGTTGGGAGCCAGCAGGACTTCTCCAGGGAGAGCTGACTGATGCCTTGGCTGAGCCCTCTGCTCTTCCCGACCTGAATCCTCCCTCATCCAAGGACACTGATCAATGCAGAGGTGTCCTCCTGATTCAAGGGGCATTGCCCTCCCCTGAAGAGACAGAGACAAGAAAAGGTGTTTTTAGTTCCTGACATTGAGCAGAAAACTAAAGCATAAGTCCTAAAGGCTGTGTCAGCATTCACCCTGAGCCCCAAGGTCAGCCCACCTGAGTCATGTCTCCTCTTCCTCCCTTTTTTTCAGCCCCACTCCCTGTTCTCTCTGGAAGGCTGGCATTCTCCTGCTCTGACCAGCTGCTGGAGCAACACACCAAAGCACTGCAGAGCAGAAGAAAAAAAAAAACCCAAACATATATATAGCAGCCTTTGAGCCAAGCTTTTAATATTTCATCTTTCTTTTTCTGCCAGAAGAAAGTAAATTCCTTATGCTGGCTGGGCTGCAACCTCACCACCACATCCCTGTGCCTCAGACAGCCCTGGCTGCCAGCCCCTCCAGGCAGATGGGGAGTGCAAGGCTCATCTTCCTCCCACACAACCCCTTCTGCTCTGGCATCCCTTGACACTGGTCAGGCAGCACAGTGGGGACGAGGCACTGAGGGGACAGGGAGGCCTGGGCAGCTGCCTACGAACTGCAGAATTCAAGATGCTGCAGAGAACCCCACACTGAGCTCCACGAGGCACCCGGATGCCTCGATGGACCCACTCTGGTGGAAGAACTTGCCTGGGAAAGGTGACAGGTCAGCAGGCACCAGGTCACCCCGAGTGGCATCTGCCAATCCCCGCCACCGAGCTCCGCGCCAAAGCCAGCCGCCGTCCCACCGGCACACAAACTATCCATCAGGCATCGTCTGTGTCAAAGCCAGTTTTTATTTGTAAATTTAATGTCTGTAAAGTATTTTGGCTTTAAATTATTCCGCAGCCTCCCCTCGGTTCAGCGGCGCTTCCCCGTCTAGACAGAACAATCTTGTTGTCAGCGAAACAGATTCGCCCTGACATCCCCGCCGCGATGCCGCTGCTATTTTGTAGGATGGAAAAGAGCTAAAAAGCCCTTTCTTTACTGTTTTGAAATGTGATTCCTGTCCATTCAACTTCAAACAAACGCCTCAATAAATAATCCTGCTGTCTTTGGTTTGATCTCTCCGTGTTGGGAAGATGCATGGATGGAGAAAGGGGGGATGGCTCAGCATCTGTTGGGTCTGGCATCTCCCAGTGCTGCTTGCAGCGTGCCTGCTCTCCTGGGAGCAAGGGATTCCCACCTCTCCTGCTCTGTCTTTCAAACCCACCTGCTTTGGCTCTCTCCCAGGCTGCAGACCAAGGACTGGAGTGTGGAGATCTCTGTGGCAGCAAAGCCCCTGCTCCCAAACACTGATCTGTCTGATCCTCTGTGGCTGCGGAACAAACCTTGGATGGCTGGTAGGGAGATGCAGGACAGGCAGCAGCAGCCTGAAAGAGATATTAAACCAAGTCAAAACACATTTTGCATATCACTTGTTGCCAGGTCTCTGCCAGCATGAAAGACTACAAATACTTCCATTTTAATTTAAAAAGTACTTTTTCCCCTTGTGCACCAAGGCAAAGGTAAACGAGAACGAGCATTCAGCAGCACCTCCTGTCAGCCTGTGGTACTTGGAGAGAGAAAACAGCCTGATCCAGCCAAAAATAACATTGCTCCCCTTTTGCTCTGTCAGTGACACATCCTTGATGTTTGCAGTCAGAAGTGACAGGTACCAGTTGGGGATCTTTCCATCTCCTCTCCTGGTAAGACAGCCACCCACGTGGCAGCAGGGAGGTGATCTCTACCTTGTGCGAGGCATTCCCTGCCTGGGCATCACCCAGGGAAAAGGCACAGCCCCAGAACTAAGCCCCTGAGGAGCTGGACACAATCAACAGGAACAGAGGGGCCTCCATCAGAGCAAGCTGAAGGTCAAGAGCTCAGCCCCAGGGATGCCTCTCCAGGGTGCCTGCGGCCAGGTGGGGATGGAGAAGAGTCAGAACTCACCAACAGGCACATCTGCGGGTGGAAAAGGGACATATTACCTGATTTTATTCCCCAAATGCCCACAGACCTCCAGGAGGTGCCCAGTTCAGAACAGACTGTATCAGTCCTCCTGCATTAACATTTAATCCCAGTGCCAGAGCATCACACTGTAGATCAACTGCAAAAGCACTACACAGAGAAAGAGACACTTGCCTCTAAATATTCAAGCAGAAAAAGTGCCTCTGAATATTCAAATAGGAAAAATGAAATCATGAAGCAAGAACTTGTTTTCCGCACAGGCACCACCATCCAGCAGCGCAATGGGAAGAGCTACACAAGAAAGAGCTGCTTCAGGGCACCTCCACCCCTGCTTCCCACCCTTCACCTCATTAATTCATCCCTGTCCTGCCCCCTGTGGAGATATTAACCCACTCCCAGGAGCAGTCAGGAGTTTCCCCCAGGGGCAAGCTGGCTCTGTCCCATAGGGAACAGGTCCCCTGGCTGTGCCACAGCCAAAGCCCCACATTTGGAGCAGCCCCCAGCACACCCACCCCAGCCAGGAGCAGATGGCCCCAGGATCCAGAGAGGCAAAGCGGGGGAAGATTCCACCATCCGAGGATGTGCCGTGCAGAATCAGCCCAAAGGACTGACTGTTCCAGGGAAAATAGCACCAGGAAAGCATGGCAAACAGCATATGGATGTGCCCCTTCCTGGGTGCATTGAGACCATCCCACACAAGATCCTCCACAAGCACAGAACCCAAAGAGGACTGAGAGCATCCTGCAGCAGCAAGTTCTACTTTCTGCCTTCTCCTTTACCCAACAATATTATTTACCAGCTCATGAATTCCATGGGAAGGTTTTGCCCCGGGTCTGGGGGACCAGCAATTGCTCCTTTGATCAAACCTGTACCTTCAGCACCTGCTCACTGTTGATGGAGAGCTGAGCAACCTTTCTCTCCTCACCCCCTCCACCTGCAGCAGCCCTGCTGATGACCAGATCCATGATAAATGGAGTCAGAGCTCAGTGGAGTGTTTGCTGTCCTCCTGGGATGGAGGTGTTAATGCATGGGCTGAGCTGGGGGCGGGGGAGTGAAGTGCTGAAAAATGATGCAGGCAAAGCTCATTATCACATCCTTAATAGCCCTGAAATTGCTGTGAGGGCCTCTGTCAGTTCTGCTCCCCCTGGGTGGTAGGGAGCCATCCCCATCTGTCTCAGCAGCAGGGCCTGGTCCCCTCTCCAGAGCCACTGGCCACCCAAGCAGACAGGGCACCTCCACACTTGGAGCCAACGTCTCCACACCAGGTATTCCTGAGAGGAGCTGCAAAGGAGAAGTTGTGCTGGCTCAGCTCAGCACCTCTGCTCCAAATCCATTGACTCCAGGAGGGGGCACTGGCCTCAAGCATCCAGATTTTACTCCTACGCTCTGCTCCTGCCCTCCACGACGAGAGGCAGAACGTGCCTCGATCTCCCTGCCTGTATGAAAGAGCTGTAACATCTTCCACCCGCCTCGGTGAATATCTTTTGCTTTTAGTTCTTCTTGGGCACTCAAGAGCTTCACTGATACATTTTGGGGAATTTTCAGCCAGTTCAGAGGTGCTGATGGCACTTCCAAGGTCACCCACCACCTGGGCCATGGCTCTGCTCAGGTGTGTTTTCAAGTCAACCCATCATCACAGAATCCCAGAACAGTTTGGGTTGGGAGGGACCTTAAAGGTCATCTAATTCCACCCCCTGCCATGGGCAGGGACACCTTCCACTAGACCAGGTTGCTCAGAGCCCCATCCAGCCTGGCCTTGGACACTTAACACATCCTGGATGTGCTGGTGCTCTCTCCAGTGGGAGATGGATGTGGACACCAACCACTTGGCTCCAGCACACCCTGAACAGTTCAGCCCCCACCAATGACAGCAGGTGCTCGAGGTACTGGTTTGATCCAAGGAGTAATTGCTGGTCCCCCAGATCCAGGGCAAACCCTTCTCACTGAATTCATGAGCTGGTAAAATACTACTCCTGGGTGAAGGAGGGGGCACAGGGCAGGAGTAGGTCCCATGCCAGCCCAGAGCTGGTGGCTGCACCTTTAAGTGCTGCATCTCAGTTCCACTTCTCGTGACACCTGCACCAAAGGGATTTGACGGCTCCCAAGAAATGCCAAGTCAAGAAGCTTTTAAGAACTCCTGAACTGCCTTTTTAAGAGGCAGGGCACATGTGCAGCTAATCCAGTCTTAAAACTAATGATTTAATTTACCTTAGGAGAAGCAAACCAGCATAAATTAATATCTCCCAGTAGTATAGCATAAGCATGTTTTATCTAGAGATTATGTTGATTAAATCATCAAGTGCCATAATCTTCCTTTCGTACCTCAATAAAAAAAATCCCTAAAAATATAGATATAGCCTTCTAAGCCACAGGGGGGAAGTGCACATTCATCTCCAAGCACTCTCCTCGCTCAGCAGTGCGTGCACATGAGACTCCCCACCCTGGAAGGAGCTGCTCCAGCTGGTGCAGTAAGGAGAGGGAAAATGAAGCTACATGTTCCGAATGGAAGCGATGCCAGGAGGTGAAGGAGCTTGGAGTCGGTACAGGAGCCACACTCGTGGGGTTTCACTCTGCAAATGTGACTGAAGAGATCAGATCTGACTTCTCAAGGCCGTGTATCTGCTTTCAGGGTGTAAGACACCAAGGCCATTAGTCACACAAGCTGGAAGTTCGAGTGGCTCAGTTCCACCACGCAGGGAGACGGTGCCTGAGCAGAGGGGGAAAGCACAGAGGCCCATTTCAAACATTTCCCTCCCACCCCTCTAATCTCATTTCTGCTTGTTCCCACTTGCTTTGCTCTCCACTGAACTGAAGGACTACACCACCCACCCTGGTGAATCAACAAGACCTACCTTGGCTTTTTCCAACCGAGTCTGCACCTGCCGGGGGTTGTTTTTCAGACAAAGCCTGTTCCTGTGGGACTCAGCTGCAAACCCTCTCCTGCAGCTCTCTGCCAGGTAATCATGCATGGGCACTTCAGGTTTAATGGCTTTGTCTGCTGGCTGTTTGGATTGCTGGAGAGCTCTTGGGCAGGGCACTTCAGAAGCACAACACCTTTCATTTAAAGCCAATTCAGAGCCTCGGTGGTGAGTTTGAAAGCTTCCCTGGAGAAGGACAAAGGATTTGTTAGGAGAAGGTGTCCAAGGCCAAAACAACATCCCTAACATCAACAGAAAGCTCCTGCCATGAGAATGCAAAACCTAAACGCTCTTTACACTGACCACTGACACCAGCAGCAGGTCTCCAGCAGGCAAGCTGGATTTATAAAGCCAAGTCTCAACACGAGCAACATCGACTCACCCTCCTAGCCCCTGGTGTTGGTGTTTATGAAATAAGTGGATTTTGCAAAGAAAGGGCAATTAACAGATGTTGTTGTGTTCGGTTATTGAGAAGTTGGGGCAAGCAGCAAGAATCTGCCAGTGCTGCTGAGTGTGGGCTGCAGCCACCACAAGTCCCCTGCCTCAGTTTCCTCATAAACAAGGTAATTACTCCGCTGTTGTAAAAGCTTGGGAGCCTCCAGGAGAAAAACAGCATTATCTGAAAAAGTATTTTAATACCCAAATGAAGCTGTCAAGAGCAACTCCCTGCCCAATGTCTCAGGCAGAAAACACGTCTCCATTCAAACACCCTGTCCTACAATCAAAAAATATACATCTTGTAAAGGAACCAGATTCAGGTTCTGTGAGGAGGCCCTTTCTCAGCAAGAGGTTTTTTTCAGAGAGGAGACACAGTGTGCTGACTTGCAGCCTTACAAATCTGGAAGCTTCAAGAAGTCTCCTGACTTTTTTTTTTATTATTATTATTATTACTCATTTCTATGGTCCTGCAAACCTGCCTGATGATTCACAGAGCAGAGGAGGGTTGTGTTTCTTTCCTTGAACTCCTTTCAAACTAAAACTCAGACCCAAGCCCCTTTCTCCCCTAGAATCAAACCTCCATGTCTTACTGTATAGAACTGTAATTTCAGAACAACTCTGCACATCCTTCTGATGTCATTTTACAGTAGAAAAAACCTATATCTGACCCTCTCCCTCTGTGAGTGTCTCTGTCTGCCCAGCTCTGAATAGCATTTCCCTCCTGGGCTTTGTAACCTCCTCAGTCCAATTAACAGGGTCTCCAAAAGCCTGGGGACTTCATTACTTCTAAATGAACCATCTTCAAACACACTAATGCCACTTGTCTTCTGCAGGACCCTCGTTCCAGGCAGGCCTGACATTTTGACAGACCTCCACACTCATTTTCACCGAGGAAATGCACCATTACAAAAGGTTAATTTTTTAGGATGGATAGAAAAATCTCTTCCTCCAGGTAAATATTAGACAAACATCTACACACTGCGTGGAATTACATGTCAAGCCACTCGATAAAACCAACTTATCTGCCAGGAACAAGCCTGTCAAATCCTTGGCACAGATGCCTTTCTCCCCCCATTTTAAGTCTAGAGGAAGGGAGGGGGGTTCCACTCATTGATCACCCCCACCCTGCCAGCTCCACGTCTGCCCGTGCTTCAGCCTCCCTGCTGAGACAGCTGCCTTTGGAGAGGAGGATTTTGAGAGGATACCAAGAGAAAAGCCTTCCAAAAAAAAAAAAAAAAGTCACAGGGGTTGCTTGGCTTCTACCCTCACTCCCCGGGGCTTTAGGCACACGCTGGGAGGGCGCTGCTGTCTGCAAACACCACCTCTGCCACGTCTCCTCCTCACAGAACAGCCTGCAGGCAGCACAGAGGGTGCTCAGCTCGCCTGTGACAGCAGCCAGCAGAGCCACATCACTCTGCTGCTGCTCACTCCCAGCAGCTCATCCCTTCCCAAGGAGAAAACTCGGCTGAGGGACTTGCTCCTCACTCCAATGCTCTCAACAGACCAGACCTACAAGCGTTTGCTTTTAGGTTTTTAATACATTCCCCCTCTCCCCAAGCTGGGGGCAGAAATCTTTCACAGCAGATCAGAGCCCACAGATGTCAGACAGCTTCTCTTCCTTCTTTTGTGATGCCCTGGGAAAGCCAAAGCTGGCAGGCAGAAAGCCCAGGATACCTGGCAGGATGGACTTGATTGTCTCCAGCTAATGAGTTCCACCTCGGAGGGAGAGATCCTCCTTTCCAGGGGCCTCAGGTCCTCTCTGAGCTTCATCTAGAATCTGCAGGGACACTGCCATTCCACACTCAACATCCTGCACGAGCAACTGACTCATTATCCCCAGGGAGCTGCCATCTGTCAGCCCATCACGGACAGATCTGATTAACAGAACATCCCCGTGATCTCCACCTACTGCAAAGGAGAACGTGCTCTCTCCCAGTGGTTCATGCTAACACATTCTAACTTGGGATTTGCAACGAGCTTCTCATACTCAACTACCAAACGCAGCTGATGAGCAGTAACTCGTTATCCAGAAATCATCGGGTCACCGCTCTGGATGGAGCCAGATGGAGGAGGGACAAGAGGGTAACGCTGAGGAAGAGGTGATGCACCCAGAGGTGAAGTTCTGATGCAGCTGAAACTCTAGAGTAAAACCTTAAGGAAGGTTAAATTGCCCCCCAGCCCAGAGTACAAGCTAAGTTGAGGAAGGCATTTCTAGCTGGATTGCAGACCCAGCTCTCAGTCTGTGGCAGACATTCGCTCTCCCAAGCCCCAAGTCATCAAGTTTGCTCTCATTTACTTCTCTCCGTAGAAACCTTTGAGATTTGCATTTCAAAACCACTATAGGGGTGAAATCACTGCTGAGACAGGCAGCAGCAGGCACTGGATGCCCTTCACAGCACTGACCATGCGGGAAGGCAGGAATGCTCCTGCACTGGCAGCAGCTTCTCCCGCTCGTTCTGCTCAGCAGCAGCCGAGATTGCCACAGCAACAGGAGACAGAGGAGAAAAGTATTTCTCCAGAGCGTATTTGGTTGCTTTCAAGTGGATCGACACAGGAGAGTTCGTTTGTAAACGTCAAGAGCATGTCGGTGTGAAATTGGAAATGCGAGTGGGCGGCAGCACGGCCAGCACAGCTCAGGGGGGAGGAGATTGAACACTGGGCTCACCTGAGCAGGGTGTGGACCCAGAGACCTGCAGGAGCTCACAGGGCCTCAGCACTCATTCACTGAGCAAAGGAAAACCCTTGTCACTAAGGCAGACAGCTCTGTGGCTACTCCCCCCACGCTGGGCTCCAGGAGTTCTGTCTCCAAAACGCCCACCTTTGTGTGCGGGCACCACGAGGCTGAGCTGCATCCTGCTGTTTTCCCCTCGGGAAGGGAGAGACCCCAGTGCTGATGTTCCCACTGCTCTGTCAGCTGAGCCATGTAACCAGACAGCAAACAGGGACAGTAAGGTCGAGCAGGAGACTGTGCTCCTCCCCAAAACAATTGAAGAGGCTCATTAAACCGGTTAATAGCAGGAGCAGCACTGACACCATGCCACAGCATTTTCACTTTCCTTTGTAACAACATCCCAAAGGGCTCGAGCATTTGGCTCACTAAGTGGCACCTCAACAGTCCAGTTGAGATGTGCCAGGAGCAGGAGAGGGCAGCTCATCCTGAAAAACACAGAAGGTAATGAACCCCTTCTTGGATGAAGAGCGAGGCTCTCCCTGTGCTCTGGTGATGATGATGGCTGGGTTAAACACCCAGTGAACAAACAGGCCGGACAATTCAACCTCACTATCCTTCACTGCTCCCCCTCACAGCAGGCATCTGAGAGACTCATCTCCTCCCTAAAGGAAAATTTGGGAGAAGCAGGATGAGAGCTAAACAAAGACTTATTCTGTCACATTTTTGTGATTCTGCTGACAGCCCATTCGGAGCACACTCAGCTCACTGAGAGAATACTGCAACAAGACAAGTGACAGACAGGGTCACAGGTCCAGGAGACCTCCTTGGTCAGAGGCATCACATCCAGCAATCCCCAGTGACAAACCAAGAACCCAGACCCTGCCTGGCCATGCACCACATTCCTCTTCACCTGAGACACCGCATTGGTTCAACCAAGTGTTTGGCAATCAAAAGATGCAGAGGCACTGAAAGGGCTCGCTGCAATAAATTAATTAAATAAAGAAAAGTACCAATGCCTTGGAATGTAAGTAAATATGCAACACCACCATTGAAACAGGGTGTGTAACAAGGCATGGTTGGTTGGCTGAGACACACCAACCATCTCTCCTGGGTTCGTGCCTCTGCTCGGCTGACTGGCTGCATCCATTAATTATACCCCCATTAGGCAGCAGGAAACCCTCCCAACCAGAGGCACCTTCCTGCTCTGTCACTCAGCCCAGGAACATGACAGATACAACAGAGCTGAGGCATAATCGAGACAGAGCACCTGCCAGGCTGGATGGATAGGGAGAAACCCCTCTGCACAGAGGCTTTGCAGATTATTAATACCTTTGGTTACATGACATGATGGAGAGGCACTGCAGGCCTCGTGAAGGCCACAGCCAGAGTTTTTGAGGTTGCTCACATCCATTACAAGTGTACAATATGTTCCCCAAGGTCTCCAGCACTGGGGTGGCAGAGCAGCCACACGTGGCAGCCACCGGGACGAGCCAGCCCAGCACAGGAGCTGATGCATTTTTCATGCCCCCTGTGGCTTTCACATTATTTCAGAGCAAACAAAACCTTTCTTTCAGAAATCCAGCCTCAGCACTGAGGGGTGCCCAGCCCTGCTAACTGCTCCAGAGACTGCACTGTGGTGAGGCCCTGGCACAGGTTGCTCAGAAGCTGTGGCTGCCCCATCCCTGGAAGTGTCCAAGGCCAGGCTGGATGGAGCTCTGAGCAACGTGGGCTAGTGGGAGGTGTCCCTGCCCACGGCAAGGGGTGGAATGAGATGAACTTTAAGGTCCCTTCCAACCCAAACCATTCTGTGATTCTGTGATTCCCTCCAGGATCTGCTTCCCACACCCCCCACCTCCCTTGTCCAGACACACCGTGCAGCAGTCCAGTCATGAAAGCACCAACACTGCAGCTTTGCACCACAAAATATCTGCTAAATACTCACTTTTACAGCACCTGGAAAGGCCAAGCAAGCACCTGTGTCTACTCAGAAGGATGAAATTCTCAGGGAGCAAAGCCCTGCT